TGTGTGTGTGTGTGTGTGTGCGTGTGTGTTTGTATGGTGTGAGAGGGTGAGATTAGATCTTGTGCTGCTGTTGGGGATCGCGCGTCTTGCCGAGCTGGCCGGACTCGATGAGTTTGCCCTCTACCTCCTTTTCGACCTCTGGGATGAGTTTCTCGAGCTCGTCCCAGTCGTTTCCGATGAGCGAGACGTCTACGCCGTTGTTCCACTTTGGATAGGAGCCGACCTTGATGCCGTTGGGCTTGCACTTGTCCGTCAGCTTGACGAGGAAGGGGGAGATGTTGCTTTCAGGCAGACGCGTGTGGATGAGCACCCTGTAGGGGCGAGGTCGGTTGGGGTCGAGCGGGATGTAGCTCTCCATACCGTCGAGCAGGGCTTCAAAGAGCCGTGGGACGCCGGGGAGGATGCAGAGTTTACCTGCCATGCGCACGACTGGCACCCACAACCTTTCTGTGGGGAAGATCACTTCGGCGTGTTTGTTCGGGAAGAGCGCCATGCGTTTGCGTGCCGTGATCATATCCGGCGTAACGTCGGTATTCACCTGTCTAGCCTTGAGATTCTCCGCCATCCTGCGCACCACCTCTTCATCGTACTCGAGCTCGGCACCAAACGCCTTGGCCATGCTCTCGTACGTAATGTCGTCCGGCGTGGGGCCGATGCCACCGCTGCTGACGACCCAGTCGAACTGATCCGTGAGTCGACGTGCGGCCTCTACGATCGTCTGCTCATCGTCGGGGATCACCTCGATGCGGCGCAGATCGATGCCGAGGTCGAAGCAGAACTTGGCGAGGTAGTTCGAGTTGCTGTCCTTGGTCTTGCCGTTCAGCACCTCGTCGCCGATGATGAGGCATGCGGCTGTCGACACGTACCTGCCTGCGCCGAGCGGGTTGGTGCGCGAAAAGTCGGGCAGAGGCGTCTTTTCGAACACCGGCAGTTCGGGCGCAGAGGAGGAGGAGGTGGCCATGGTTCGTCGCCACGTCGCAGTGAAGGTGGAGATAGGGATGCGTGTGGATGGGCGAGCAAGTGGTGACGCCGCGCGAAGAAGGAGCATCAGCGGGTTCGAGCAGTGGATTCGCAGAGCAGCTTGGGGGTGGTGGATGCAAGGCGAGCTCTGCCTTCGGACAGAGTCCGCGTCGAGAGCACCGCGCATTGACCGCTTCCAACGCTGCTTTGCGCTGCTTTGCGCTGCTTTGCGTAAGACGGCCGCTATTTCCTCCACATGTAGCCGTAGCAGGTGAATTTAATCCTGTTAGATCGTTACTGTCGCCTTCCGTTTCCGACCGCTCTTCCCCTACCTCAAGTCACGGCAGCATACCCACACACACACATACAGTACACTCGGCGGACCACTTTCAACAATCCATTGCGCTGTCGATCGCCGCTCTACTTGCCACACGCGGCGGTCCAGGTGTCGTCACCGATCTGGATCTTGTTCGCCTTCTTGACCGCCTCACTGCCGAGGAAGTCGTCCAGATCACACGCGCCCGTGGCGTCGGTCTTGCACAGCACGCCCAGATCGACAGGAGCCTTGTTGAGGCGCAGCTGGATCTTGCTGCCACCCTTGCTGCACTTGAGCTTCCTCCACTCCATCTGCGCCGCAAACGGCACCTGCACGCTCGTCCTCCACTTGCGGTTGGCGCGCACAGGGCCAGTGGTCGGGTACGACTTGTCCGCCGCGAGGCCGAGCGAGGTGAGGATGAGGTCGATGGTCGTGTCGTGGGCAAAGTCGAAGAACAGCGTCCTCTGCGCTCCGTCCGGCTCGGTGAACTGCTCCGGCTGCGTCAGACGCTGGGTGAGGTTCGAGACAAACAGCGATCCCATCACCTGGCCCGACGAGTTGGGCAGACCGTATCCGAACGCGCCGCGCATGAGCAGGTCCAGCTCGTACTCAAACTGCTCGATCTGCTGCCTGCTGAACACGCCGCACCACGGACTGCGCTCGACCGAGCCGGTGGTGGCCAGATCGTACGCACACGCCCACAGCATCCCGTGCACGTTGTCCGCCGTGATGTTGATCCACGGGTAGGCGCGCTTGAGCTGCGTGTTGAACTGCTTGGCGATGGGCGGCAGGTACACGGCTCCCCACTCGCTCACCGGCTTGCCTCCGGACGAGTAGGTCCAGTTCTTGCACGTCTCCATGGGCGTAATGTAGCTCTTGACGCCGAGGCTCTCGGAAATCACATCGAGCCTGCCCGTCGCGTTGGCCGTCTTGCCCAGGTATCCCGCTGCAAACCACTGCGCACTTTCCACCACACGGTCCTGCTGGCCGGCGAGGAAGAGCGTCGTGTTGAGCTTGGGGTAGTCGAGACGCATCTGCACGCCGTGTTCAAACAGCTCGCGTCGTCCCACCGCCGTCAAGTCGTCCTGCTTGAGCTTGTCCGCGTTCCACCCCTCTCCCGCCAGGAATGCAAACTGCGATGGCAGCTTGGCCGCAGGTTGGCTGAGCTGCGCAGTGTGGTTGTTGAGGTAGTACGACAGGTTTCGCACCGTCCCGATCTCCTGGCTGATCGGACCGCGCGAGCCGTGGCGGTGGATGAGCGACACCGACTCCACCTCGCACCCATCAGGCATGCCCGACCACACGTGTCCCTCCACGGGCGCGTCAAAGTACGGCGAGAGGTTGCCCAGGTGGTGCTCGAGCTTCCACGCTCCCGACGCCGCGTTCCGCTCGGTGATGAGCGACGCAGCGGCCGTAGTGGTCAGCGCCACGAGCTGCAGCAGCAGCAGCAGCGATGCGCTCTTGTATACAGCAGCGACCATGGTAAAGAGTGTGCGTGGTTGGATTGATGCGGCAAGGATGCGGACGCTGGTGCACCAGAGCTATATATGTCTTTTTGCTCCCTCGAGGGCGGTCGTTGGCTTGGCTGCGAAGATTTTCGTCCTTTGGTGTACCTGCATCGCGTGCCAAGAAGGCTCTTTGTTACCTCGTCCTCGCTTCCCTCGCTTCGAGCCGGCGCGGCTGTTCGGAACGCCCCAATGAGCGTGCGGCTCAGCTGACCAGGTGGCACCGGGTGGCAAGACAAGGTGGGGGGGGATGTGCAGCAGCCGACCTCGGACTGGCGTCTGCCGATGCGCGTTTCATCTGCACAGCGTGGCGAAGGCAAAAAGGCGCTAAGCGAGCTTGCCTCCTTCCTTTGCGGGCGTTGAGCCGTACTGGACAGGCAGCCGCCGTTTCCGACGGCCAACTGGGCTCCGCTGCAACCGCATCCAAACCCCGCTTTCGAGACGATAAGCATGCGCGATCTCACACTCGTACAAAAACAAAAGCTCGGCCTTGTCCGACGCAAGCGAATCTGTATCAACGCTGCTGTGCGACGCTGTTGTTCGACGTGCAGCGCGGGGGAGGTGGGTCCAGGCACACACACACGCATGTTGAGGTGCATGCAGCGGCGCGAGAGCAACACTTGACACCAACACTTTTTTCGCTTGTCCTCGCCATCAGCATCTCATCATCTTAGCGCTTCCCTCGGAGCACATCACCATGGAGCGCGACTTTACCGTGGTCTTTCGCGTGCGGCCTTCGCTGCTCGACAACCCTTCGCCCACGGGGCTCGTCGAGTCCGCCTCCACGGGCGAGCTGAAGATCAACGAGCCGCGCACCAAGCTGCACACTTGCGCGGACGAGTACACTCCGCACACCTTTCTCGCCGATGCATCCTACCTCGCCGCATCGACGAGCGACGACATTTTCCGCGCGCACATTGCGCCGCTCATCCCGTTCGTCCTCACAGGCGGCTTTGCCACCGTGCTGGCGTACGGCCAGACGGGGAGCGGCAAGACGCATACGCTATCGCAGTGTTCGCGCCTCGCGATTTCGGCGCTCGTAGCCGCCAACGCCGATTCGTGCCACCTGGAAGTGTGCGCGATCGAGCTGTACGGCAAGGTGCAGAACGACCTGCTGGATGCCAGCAACACGCGCGTCATGGTCGCCGAGACGCTGCAGGCGAGCAGCACGTTCGCGCGCGCCACGCTGCGCACCGTCTCCAGCGCCGACGAGTTGCTATCGCACGTCGAGGCAGCTTGGACACAGCGCATCACGCGCGGCACCGAGAAGAATCCACACAGCTCGCGATCGCATGCACTCATCCGCATCATCTGCCGCTCCAAGCTCGATGCCAACGCCACTTCCGGTGTTTTGCAGCTCGTGGATCTCGCCGGCTCCGAAAGGGCCGCTGACCATTCGCCCGCACAGGCGCAGGCACGTATGGCCGAAACCGTCGCGATCAATACCTCGCTCATGACGCTCAAGCAGTGCATCCGTGCCCGCACCTCTCCCGCACCCTCGGCGAATGGTGCGCCGCCGCATATTCCGTTCCGAAGCTCCAAGTTGACGCTGGCGCTCAAGGAGGCGTTTGACCTGTATGCGCGCCAGCCGACCCACACCGTGTTCATCGCCACTGCCAGCCCGGACCTCGTCGACCAGCCTGCTACGCTCAACACGCTGCGCTATGCTGCAGCGCTCGTAGCTGCCCCGCATGCGCGCATCCACCTCCAGCCCGACCCGCAAGGCCGCAATATCTTCTTCTGGACTCCAGCTCGTCTTGCAGAGTGGATCCTCAAATACGCCTCGCCCTTCATCACGCCTGCCAACATCGAAGCTCTCGTTCAGGGCCAGGACGGTGCGGCATTCGCACGCGTGCCAGAACAGCAATTCTATGCCCGATTCGCCGACGCTACGGCGGCGGGCAAGTTGGAGGGCAAGGCAGAAGCAAAGGCCAAGGAGGTGTATCTCAAGTGGTGGAGGCTCGTCATCGCCTCGCGCACCATCTCGCAAAAGGCGCTGGCGGACGAGTGGAAGAAGCGGCACGCGGCCAAGCTCGCACACGAGGCCGAGGAGGAGGGCAGGGATGCAGAGGTGCAGAGACTGCTCCGGCTCGAGGCGGTAGCCAAGGCGCCCGAAGGCGTCGGCGCGTAGAAACCATGCAATGTCAACCTTATTCACCCCTCGACCAGCACGCCATCAAGTTCCGATACACTAGCTCAAGCTGGGGTCCGATTCGCAACGAGCACTTCATTGTAGGGCAAAGGGGGATGGGGGGGAGAGGGAATGGTTAGGACATATCGCCCTGGACCCAGGGCACGACACTCGTTTGATCGCCTTGGAGCACCAGCTGCGTCTTGGCAAGAACATTCTCCTCGGTATCCAGTTCCAGCTCGTACTTGCCTGGGTAGAGCACCAGATTGCCCTCTTCGTCACCCCTCGCCAGCGCAGCCTGGGTGATCTCCACCTCTACGCTCCTGCTCTCGCCCGGCGCAATCGCCTTGACCTTCTTATACCCTACCAGCGTCTTGTTCGGATGCGGGGCTGGGCCGTTTGTGTGTCTCGCAAAGACGAGGGCGGCGTAGTCCGAGGTGCGCTGTCCCGCATTCGTAATCGTCGCTTGCACCGTGGCGACACGCTCGAACTCTGCATACCCCGCCGTGGCGATGGTGTACGGTGCCGGCTGGGCGAGCTCGGCTTTGAACTCGGTGTAGTGCAGTCCGTGCGCGTACGGGTAGGTTGGCGTTCCGCTGTACCACTTGTACGTCCTTCCTGGGTACGTTGCATTCGGCCTCAGTGCCATCGTCGTCTCTGCCAGTCCGTCAATGTACTCGGCGGGATACTGCGTGATGGGCAGCCTTCCAGCGGGGGCGGTGTTGCCCGCAATGACATCCATCACGGCCAGCGCACCGCTCTGACCGGGATACCCCGCCCAGAGCAGCGCGCCGATGTTGCCGTCGGCCTTGATCGACGCACCGTCGATCTGGCCACCTCCAAACTGGACCACCGCCATCTTTTTGGCCATGCCGCCGAG